GGCAGTGGTTTCACAACAACCGCGATTTGCAAGCTATTTGGCGACTAAAGCTGCAGGGAAAGGGACATGACACAAGAACGTAACAGAGTAATACAATACATATTCAATTTCACCTTGGAATTGTCAGAACATGGTCACGCAAATCTTGGTTCAACACGTAACGGACACATCATGGCCTCGCCTTCCAACGTGATCTGTTTGAACAGATGGAATCATCCTAACTCTAGAAGTAGTTTGATCATGTTTGATCCAACATTTGTAAATTTCGAGGATTTGGGTCATTCTCAGATCAGAAACCCGCCGCTTTTGGTACCCTGCGGTCAGGCCGTAGAATCCCAAGAAAATCCGCTGGCTCCCAGGTCACCTTTGGAGCGTTGCAGGTTCTGGATCTGGAGGGGTCTGGGAAGCCAAAGCTGATGGTGCTAAGTGCTAAACTGCTAAACTGTTTGATTTTGGATGAGTTTTGGTGATGGGATGATTTGGGATGATTTTTGATCATTTGGGTGATGTGGGAGGAGTTTAATTTTGGATGATTTTGATATGAACACAGAACACAATGACCTATGGACCTATTATTCAGATGGTTCGATACTTTTGCAGGTCTCGGGAAGTGCTCCGCAGCAGTGACTCGACGCTGAAAAAAAGGTGGCGGCTGCTACTGTTCCGATGTCATGCATTCGCGGATGGACGGTCTTCTGAAAAGGCAATGTAGACTTAGTAAAACACCCAGATGGTCCAGGCTACGCTTACGCTATGGGTTCGGAAGGTGGCTCTAGACATCTCTTTTCCATACCTTGTTTTGGTGAACGAGAGGTTTTGTTTCTTTCCTTTCAGACTTTCAGATGCAATTGCTTGAGGTCTTCATCATTTGTTCCTTCTCAGAACGTGTTGGGAGTTTCCAGGCTTGAACTCCGAAGAGCTGCCTACCAGCACTGATGATTGCATACTATCCCTGATGACATCGCGTGTTATATTCGCTTCTGTTCGTTGATAGTTGAAGTGATAGAACATAATGGAACATGTTATCTGCTTTCCTGTGTTTGCACACGCTCTGGTACGCCGCATGTATCTACACAGTATCTGGCACTATGTTATGTACAAAAAGACCCACAGGTTTGCATAACCTATATCGGTTTCGTCGGTTTGTTTGTTCCTCCTGAGTTGAGCAACCTGCGGCCATCACCCATCAGCTTTCAGCTTTGAAGCAAGTGAAGAGATCTGCGCAAGCTTTTCTACAGATGTTCAGTCTATGCTATCTCGGAAAAACAGGCACAGAGAAGTCCGAAAAAGAGAGCAGCGTGACTGGTACTGGTAAGCACGAACAGCAATTCTTATCGGAACGGAAGCAACCTGTCACAGCGTCACAAAACGTGGACTCACGATGCTTTTTCCCTTTGATCCAAATTAAACCATGCAGATGAAAAGCCCAGCCTGGCAATCCACTTGCAGTTTGCAAACATGATCATTTTCAGTTTGACAGCAAAATCTGGTTGACCGTACAGTGTACTGTGGGTTTATTGTTGGGTTTACCACATTACCACATTACTACAGAAGGCTGTTCCCTGAAGCCAATCACTTCCTTAAACCAGCCCTTCTTTTACGGTGCAGCATGCAATGCCGCCAAAGAGAGCCTGGGCAGGGTCCGCAGACTATTTACCAGATAGATAAGTTAGATACCAGGATGACAATACAATAACCACCAAAATAACACTGATAATGATGATAATGCTGACAACAATCATAGTAGTGATACTGCAATAATGAGAATAAGGATAATGCTGCAATATGCTGCAATTACAATATCGATATCAGTTATAAAAAATGATAGCAATGATTATAATGCGGTTCAAGCAGTAGTAAACCACCCAAATTCTTACCATACATGGGTTGTATAAACCATCATTGTATGGGTGGTTTATTATTGCTTTACACACATTACATTACTGTAAAGGTAATAATGAAACTGGTGATAGTAGTGAGAATAGTGATGATTCAATGAGACATAGATGCTTTGCCAACAGAGGATTGTCGTGAGGAGCTCAACCTGGCAGTGTTTCAACGTTTCAGGGTCTGAACAGCATCAGAGTTGGGTGAAATTTAAGCATCAAATCTGATTATTTGGAAAGTGATGATTTTTATCCCATCATTAATCAATGTATCCCATGGTTGATATCCAGGCCCATGGCTATTCCATCTCAACTTTCTGATAGGTCTGGACTTTGGCCGTCATCTTCCTTGCAGGCCATGGAACTGTTGACTTCCGGGATCTGAAGCCATGGGTGAAAAATCATTGGTATTATGGGTTACCTTCTGGTAAACTAACATAACTATGGACAATCACCATTTTTAATGGGAAAACTCACTATAAATGGGCATTTTCAATAGCTATGTTAGTTTACCAGAGGGTTAAGATTGGTGGTTTCCATACCCAATCACTTCCATTTTCTCCCAAACACAGAGAAGATGGGTAGATGGCCAATTGGAACCCCTGTTGTCTCCTGGCTGTTGGATGCCCCATGCCTAAGCCTTGTGCTGCAAAGATTTGGGTCTGAGAAAATGGGAACACCATGCCATACATGTTATGGTTGATCATCATTTTCCATACAAGAATTGCCATCAATTGGTGGTAAACCATGGTGTAAATTCTCAGGGGACAAAGCCACTTTTGGATCTTGACTCTGGTTGCGATCACAAGAGCTGCAGGTGCTCCTACCGCTGGGCGCCTGGAGATGACAACTGCTGATAGATCAATAGATAATTCAATCTTCTTCCACTGTATCCCGAGGCTGCAGAAGATGACATGCCCAGGTGGGCGACTTCTTTGGCAGGGTGTTGATCCATTTTGATCTCAGTGTACCTGGAAATTGTGCCAATGTACCATTTGACTTTGGCTATGCACTTGCTATGAAGATTTCTTTCTCATCCATAGGATTGATGTGATTTATGGCGTCTATGAGATGACATTACTGCCGCAGACTCCCACCTACAGCAAATTTGCCTGGGCCTGCGTCTCACCATCACCCGAAGAGTGATGAATTTTATCTACTTTTAGCAGAGTGATGAAGATTAGTGTCTTTGGCCAAACTTTGGCCTCTTCAGTGTAGTGCCTCGGTGATGTAAGGATTCATTTGAGTACTGAAAGGATCTGAAAGGCAATCCGCTCAGGGCTCACCTGCTGTAGCTGCAACGTCATTTACCCAGTTCTCGTTTGTCGTGAGCAATGCCACTTCCCACTAACCGGATTTAGAATCCACTTTGGAACTGGTGGGATTCATTCGCAGTTCCACAGTTCCCCAACTGTTTCTACCAAATCAACATTCAGAAGTTCTACCAGGTTCTACTAGGTTCTACCAACTCACTTGGTTTGGTAACTGCACTTCCTTTTTGGATCTGATAAGCGTCACTGCAGTTCCGGCATCCCGACTCCCGCAACGGCCGCAACGCAGGTCAACCATCACCAAGGAAGCGGTGCAGCGCTTCCAAGCGTCCGTGCGCGCGCGGATGTCAGGTGGGCTCCTGACTGCTGGAATATGACCTGCTTCCACATTTTTGTTCCCATAGATGTAATAAGTGTCATATTTTTATAGACAAAAAACATACAGTATGATGTAAACACACAAAAAACATCTTTCTGAGCATCATCTTTTTTTGACCATCGTCGATGCGCACGCTGCACGCTTTCCCAAGTTGATCCAAAGCCAGGCTCGGACCTCACACCAGACAAGGGGGAGGACGAATGGACCAGCTCTGAAGCATTGCGGAAGGACATGGCTGGGACAGTGTAGGAGATGTGTACATCAAGATATCATAGAAATATCTATGTATAATTGTATTATATGTAAAGCCACACATGAGTATGGTTGAATGTGAATGAATTCCATTCAATTACGCATATTATCAGCAAATCAGCAGATCAGTGCGCACGGATTTTGGATGCTCCAAACCTTGATGTGAGTCTTGACATAGATCGTTTTCAATTTGGGGAAGCGATCATAGTCTGTCCAACATCTCCAAGATTCTGCAAGACACAGTTTAGAGTTCAGGGGCATATGGGTCCTGTTGTATTGACACTGACGGGTATTCGGCCGCTTCTCAACTCAGATCAGTGAGAAACTGATAGGTCATGGCAAGGGACCGACAAAACCATTTGACCACCTGAAACGAAACCATATGATATCATATGATGTTTGAGAAATCTTAGAAATCTGTTGAATAGTCAAGTTGGTCACTGACCTTTTGAATATGTAGATACAAAGAAAAGAAACTGCTTGCTGCACATCTGATGCGCTGCGACATCATGGAATGGTGGAACTGGTGGCAGGTGGAGATTTGCGGGTGCTGGGGCCGCTGGGGCTGTGCATTTGTGTTGTGCCAATCTAGGGGCTCCAGAGGCCAATTTATGGAAAAAGTTCTGACCTTGCGGTGAAATCTAGGTATGTGAATCAGTTCTTGTGCTGTGCTTGTTGGTATCTGTTGGTATTGACGTTGTAAGATGTGTGCTTCAACAATACAGTTCCTGGACGCGGTGTCAGGGATGACTCTTTGACTTGGATCAATCAGAAGTGCTTTTCCCGTTTTGAGGCCAGCTCCGCGCTTGGATGGAACTTGTCCCCGCTGCTTCTTTTGGCTTCATGCATCGTAAAGCGTAAAGACATGTTTGGAAGCCAAGCAGCAAGAGGCTTGCGAAAGCTGAAAAGCTGAAAAGCAATGTCAGACTCGTAACCGGCAAGAAAGTTTGATTTCGCGACCCACTTCCAGTTGATCCAAGCGATCATGCTGAAATGCTGAAAATAGAGTATAGAGTGAGAACCAAGAGTTGCTGGGAATGATCACGAACACCAAGGCTTCACATATGGTAGAAGCCTTTCAGCGACTCGTTTTAACTGCTGCTTAGCAGTCCCTTGTAGAATCACGCAGACCCTAAATGACCCTAAATGATCCTAAATGTATTTCCATCATTTTCCATCATTTTCCATCCTACACTCGGCCACTTTCGACAACTGATCACTTGCTTCGTGCCATATTGGATCGTCGCGATGCTCTGAGGCGATCATCGGGTTTTGAGTTCCTACAGGTCTACATTCTTGTGAATCGTGTATAATAATGGACCAGTGTGGACGCACAAAGGCTCCCCAAGAAATCCCAAGTGCTCTGAAGCAAAGATGAGACAACCCACACTGAACACCCAACATCTTGATCCATTTTACTATCCCCAAGCAATGAGAAATTCCTCAGAGTCAAACATAAGCAGCCACAGTATGGCTCGTTGAAGTGTCGCGTCTTGGAGGTATGGAACTGGCCAGAAGCCGCCGTGGTTTGTTGACCTTTGTGGTCGGCTGGGGACTTGGGCCATTGGGCGGTCGTCCAGGGGATTCCTCACTTTTTTCATTGGTCAATTTCATACCATCTATTGGGTTCGTTAAGAAATCCTCTACTTGTTGATCTTGTTGGTTGCCACACATCTCAGATATTCAGATTACCCTATTTTGAAAGAATCGTAAGGGAAACTCAAAAGATGAAAAGACATGTAGAAGAATTGAAAAGAATTGAAACGAATTGTAGAAGAAAATAGAAAGAATTGAAAAGAATTGAAAATAATTGTAGAAGAAAATAGAAAGAATTGAAAAGAATTGTAGAAGAAATTAGAAAGAATTGAAAAGAATTGAAAAGAATTGAAAATAATTGTAGAAGAAAATAGAAAGAATTGAAAAGAATTGTAGAAGAAATTAGAAAGAATTGAAAAGAATTGTAGAAGAAATTAGAAAGAATTGAAAAGAATTGAAAAGAATTGTAGAAGAAATTAGAAAGAATTGAAAAGAATTGTGGAAGAAATTAAAAAGAATTGGAAAGAATTGTAGAAGAAATTAGAAAGAATTGGAAAGAATTGAAAAGAATTGGAAAGATTAAGTCTATTGAATATAAACTCAATTAGAACAATGAAAACCATTACAATTCTTGTTAATTCTTGACATATTCCCGGGGACATAGATTAGAGGCTTTCTAAAACCAGCCAAGTTTTGTTTTTCATCAACAGGAACAAATAGATAGCAGACAGATAAATATATAGAACGTGCTGTTTTCCTCCGTATGGTCTACTTGTATCTACAAAATCCATAAGGAGATCCATGAAAAACTCCATCAATTTTTCCATTAAACAGATTTTGTTTAAACATTCCCAAAAAAAACCAACCGTGGGATTTTCTGATTTTGCTCCATATGGGGATCCGAATACTTCGAACCGATCCCAGGTGGCGAGCCCTTTGAGGTGCCCTGGCCCTTTCTGGCGCTTCATTCGCCCCAGTGGGCGGAGAAGTTGGCGGAGGACGATGGGACGATTCGCGACTGGGGAATGGATTGGAAATGCGACTGGGATATCTTGGGATATCTTGGGATATCACGGATACGGTATCCCAAGATGGAAATGCTTGGGAGAATGGATCATATCCCACGATCATTATGAAATTGATTTGAAAATTGGTAATCAGACTGTTATTAGTGTCATTGAGATTAACTGGATACTCATTATGGCTAATGATGGTTGGTTGGGAGATGATGAATATCAGACAATTTTCAGCATCATTCGCTGGATGAAGCATTATTACTAATCAATACTACTAAAGTTATTTAAATATTGTTGTTATTAGAAGACATTACCAGTAGTACCGCACAAAGCGGTGGCGGAAGTTTCAAAAATAGGAAACCTATAGGAGAGGTTGGTTGTTGTGAATCACGGATGGCAGAGCGAAGCCACTGATGGACCGACAGGTGGTTGAGGTCTCCTCTCTTTCTTTCTCTTTCTCTCTCTCTCTTTCTCTCTCTTTCTCTCTCTTTCTCTCTCTTTCTCTCTCTTTCTCTCTCTCTCTTTCTTTCTCTTTCTCTGACTATCTACCTGCCTACCTACCTACCTACCTATCTATCTTTCTATCTATCTATCTATCCATCCGTCCATCTATCTATCTATCGATCTATCGATCAATCAATCAATCAATCTATCTATCTAGATATCTAGATATCTAGCTATCTAGATATCTAGATATCTATCTATCTATCTATCGATCTATCTATCTATCTAGCTAGCTAGCTATCTATCTATCAATCTATCTATCTATCTCTCTCTCTATCTATCTATCTATCTATCTATATATATCTCTCTCTCTCTATCTATCTATCTATCTCTCTCTCTCTCTATCTATCTATCTATCTATCTCTCTCTCTCTCTCTGTGTCTGTCTATCTATCTACCTGTCTGTCTGCCAGCTTGAAAACCAAGCTATTCTGCGAGACTTTTTCATTTTTCGAAGTTGACAACATCAAAAACACAGCAATTGTGCGAGACTTCTTCATTTTTTTACACTTGACAACATCTAAAACGAAACAATTCTGCGAGACTTCTTCAATTTTTGAATTTGACAACATCAAAAACAAAACAATTCTGCGAGACTTCCTTCAAAAATGGAAAGTTGAGTGCAGCGCTGACAACCTCGTACGAATGCGTTTTTCGATTTTTCTCCTCGACCTATCTAAAGTACTGCGCCTGCAACGAAAAATTGATGCCAGGTCATACGAAGGGCTGCGCCTGTCACGCAAAATCATCTCAGCAGACCGGAAGATCTGATGCTCCAAAATGCAACCCCTCTCGGGAAATGAGCGCCCTGACCTCCGAACATCTCTAATGAACATGTCTTGTGTACTGCGCCTGCCACGCGAAATGCATCTTTGCAGATCCTCTTCAAATGTTCCACGCCTGCCATCGTTTCTGGAAATGCTGCAAAACCCTTACGTTTTGCTCACTTTTGACAAGGTGCACAATCCTTTGCGCCTGCCACGTGAAACGACATCTGAACCTCCAAAAGTGGTCCGAACTCCTGGTGTTTTGTACATTTTGACTTCGAAATGTGCTTCGCGCCACAACGGCATGCACTTTTTCGACATCTCAACTTCCAAAAGTGGTCCAGCGCTGGTGTGTTTTCTACATTTTGACTTCGAAATGTGCTTCGCGCCACAACGGCGTGCACTTTTTCTACATCTCAACTTCCAAAAGTGGTCCAGCGCTGGCGTGTTTTCTACATTTTGACTTGGAAATCTGCTTCGCGCCACAACGGCGTGCAATTTTTCATCTCTCATCTGGCCAACTGGCTCCGCGCCTGCCGCTTTAGCGAGCCTACTGTTCGACCCTCCGGAGACACAAATCATTGGAAACCACAGTGTTTCGCGACTTTCCTACCTTTTCGCGCATCTGCGTCTTCTTTCTTCTGACTCTTTCTCTTCTACTCTTCTCTCTTCTAATCTTTTCCCTTCCCTCTGCCTCTGCCCTGCTCAGCTTTTCATCTGTCCATATTGTCGGAAGTTTGACATCTAAACTTCCTTCGATAATTGTTTTTTTTGGCCTTGGGTTGTGAATGTTTGAGAAACTCATGTTACGCAGAGTACAGTGGGGGGAAGCCATCGGATGAGTCCGGTTTTGGGGCCGCCTTGCAACTTCCAGTGAGGGTGGGCGTAGGGGTTTATGCTCACGCAGAGTCTATGAGTCTATTCAAAAGTGATCTACGATTTTACAGCTACCGTAGAATTGTAGTAATTTCGATGAGGTGATTAGGTCCGTCATTTTTTGTGCCAATGAAGTATCCAATATCAGTGCATCTCCACTCTGACCTTGGTAGAGGAACCAGCAGTGGCTAAACAAGCGATCGAGCTGCAGGGGGAGGCCCTGATGTCATGCTCTGTGATGACGGAAGTTGTGCTTTGATAGGACATATCAAGACATGCAGAGATTCATACAAATATGATCAAACATGCATACATAATCAAACATAATCATACATACACGCGCATAATCATATACATCGTGTTTCAGATGAAGTCACCCCCAGCTCTGTCACGACTCACCTAGATGTACCACAGCGGCAGTTCCAATCATTGTCACAGACGGAAACAGAACATCTAGGGGTAGTTTTACCCATTTTCTACTTACGAAGGTATCCAGGGTTTGACCCATGTTCACATGTTCACTACCACCCAACGCAGTGCCTCATGTCATGTGTGGCTCAAGAAGTGACACAGCTGGGAGCCAGCTGCCATGGTCATGGCTTTAAATCCAACCATTTGGGATGGTTCAAGGGCACACACACACACAAACTGAGTGGTTTAGATTACCCAACAGAATTGGCATGCAAATTAGTGTGGGTCACACTTCGACAAGACATGTTAGGTACTGTCCCACTCTCACTTTCTCAAGCATGGTCCTGTGAAAGTTTCAGGCGACACAAATCATACACACTGTATCATCAGCACTGCTGGGCTCTCTTCGTGGGCCATGGGCAGCCCCTATTTGGTGACCACACACCGACATTTCTGCCGGACTTGCCAGAGAGAAGTGGAGGATGAGGAAATGGTCGTCACCTGCATGGAGTTACACGATATGAGGATGGTCAATGCAAGAAGACACCTCAAACAACATCTTCATATTTTGCAAAAAGCGTGCGCACTTGCCGAGAATCTGTGGTTCCATCCCCAGAGAATGATGAAACCATCATAAGCTAGCCACAATAATTTGGGCAATTTATATCCATAACATTGCAGAACCTTGGAAAGCAGGATATTTTAAAGACCCTCATCCCCTTTCCAGATCTAATCCAGATCGCATCCAGATCTAGTTGATCCAGTTGATCCAGTTGCTGAGGTCAATGACGACGAGTTGCAGGTGCATCTTCACTGCGGCACAGTTCTGGACTTTGAGGGCCTGCAACTAGAGACTGAGGGCCTCAGAGGAACCTATTCGTGGGGGCCCAGTCTGTGGATCCAAAGGGTGGTGCAAAAGGTGAAACACCAGGGCTCGGAACTTATAAAATGAAGACACCTCTAGTATAAAATTGAAATATTGCAATATATATATATATTTATATGAATGATTGTATATGTAATGACCAATGTATTGTTGCTGGTTGTAACTAACTTTGGGTTTACCTCTAGGGGGTTCTACTGTAAATGTGGGTGGGTATTAACCTTTAAAAGGGATGGCCAATGGCGCATTTGTGTCCAAAATAGGAACCCCAATCATCCAACTATATAAGCTTGGATGACAGAGGGTTATGGCCATTGCTGAATGGAATGGGTGGGCCAGAAGCAATGTAGAGAATCCATATTGGCATTCATCAAATTTCATCAATATCCAGCATTGCAAGCCCCTTCGCTCAACGATCTTAACGCATTTGGGTGAGCCCACAGGACGCGACCTATCGACCTTAGAAAGCAGCGCAGATTGGTTTGCCGAACAGCGACGAATCCTCGCCTCCTTGGAAGGTTCGGCCTGGGGTTGATAGCATCCTGATGGAGTTCAAGCATTTATGTCATTTCATGATTACTTCATGTCCACTGTCATGAAAGATGGCTGTGTTTAACCCCTTGCCCTTAAACTTGCATTTTGCTTCAAGGGTTTCTCCTGCGAAGGGGCCTCGCAGCAACGACGCAATGGTGAATCGAAGAAGATGTGTCTTGGAATGCACTTGAGTTTGTCCTTTTCAAAGGCTATGTGCAGACAAATCCAAACGCCATGTAAGGATCATTCCAAATACATGATGAATTTTAGATAAATTTAGAATCATTCCATTCATATCACAACGAATCATCACCAAACGCCGAGGCGAGGTGAAGACGCGCAGTCCCTGCTGCGCGATGCGGCTGCCTCTGCTGCACCGGTGGTGTCTGATTCTGGTGGTACGGCGCGGGCTGCGCAAGTGGGTGCTGCGAAACGGCGGGCTTGCGAGGAGTCGCTTGGACAAATGGCGTTTGGAAGTATTGACCGATAGAAGCAATATGTTTGGTTGAAACAACATGAAACAACCATCTCTTGTCTCAATGTGACCTGAGTTTCTGAGGGCAAGTTGAGTCGTTGATTCATGCTGGGGCCATCTGACGACAGGTCACAGCTCCGAGAGGCCAGAGAGGCGACAGATGCCGTGTGAAGAAAGATGCGCGTTCTGCGCGACGCGTGGCGGTCTTGAGTCCAGATCCACTGACTCGGGTTTGTCCAAAACTGGGGATACCCCAATATATTATGATATATTATGATATATTATGATATATTGGTGATTTTGAGTATATATATACTGTATATATCGATGGGATACATAATTATGATTAACCATGTGATTTTGGGTTACACCACATTTTCATACATTTTAAGACCTATGCACGGCCAACCATGACAACATGTCATTGCCTGATTGGGGAACCTTGCCAGCCTTTGCGCTCTCATGAGCACAGTACCAGATTTCTTGTTTCTGCCCTGCCTCTGCAGGCCGATTCATTCCGTGCCTTCTTGAACTACTTGCAGGGTGCCGAAGGCAAGGTCTTGGGACAGACTGATGAAGATCGGTTGAACATCAGAGTTGACCCAGGGGACTTCTGTTTGAGGCACTCCACCACCATGCGTGTCTTGATGTCTTCAAGGTTTGCTGCACCCCAAAGCACGCGAAGCACTGTGGGAAATTTGGGCAGCTGATGATTTGGACCTTAGAATTTAGTCTCACAATGTTTGTGCCATAGCCTCTTTGCAGACTTGCCTTTCCGAAAGATTAAGACTGAAGATCCTCCCGCCGATCACAGCCCATGGTCACTGACCCTACTCGCAGGTCCAACTGGAGATTTGAACCCTGGCAATTTCATGGCAGTGCTGGAGTGGGGCGAGGTGCGATCAGTGACCAACTTTAGGCCCACAAGATCCACTCGTGATCCACTCGTGATCCACTCGTGATCCACTCGTGATCCACTCGTGATCCACTGATCCACTGCAGGGTCGATTTTAAGTGGACATCCCGGCAGATCCCCATCTTTTTCGGAACATACAGGAAGACTATGGAAGAACCGCTTCTGAATCGGTCATTCTCCACATATTTTTGGCAGCGGTTCTGCCAGGAGTTTGGAGTCGAGCACATCCGTGGCCAGCACTGCTGCCACGTTGATCCAACAGCTGGAGTTGGGAATCCTCAACTTTCATATGGAGGTTTCCTAACCATGGTACCTCCAAATCATCCATTTTCATCGGATTTTCCATTAGAAACCAACCATTTTGATCCATTTTGGGGACCCCCCCATGTATGGAAACCCAATGAATCCATATGATTGATACATGGTCATTGATGGTCCCATCAGACATCTTGCAGGTGCGTTTCTCAAAGTCGAAGAGCGGAGTTCCTGGTTTCCAAAAACGACATGCAAACCCCCATGTTAGCTACGTCGTATCCCCGTTTTCTGGTAGATTCATTTGACTGTTCTGAAGTACTCTCGAGTTAATTACATCTCATACTTGGCTCTCTTCAACATTTTCAATACACAGTTGGGTAGCTTCTCAACATTTCTGAACTTTTTTTCCCCTATTTTTCTTTCCGTTTTTTTTTCCAGGTGTCCCCTACCTGGCCACAGCCAGGTGCGAGGCCTTCCTGTTGGATCCCCGCTGTCGGGAGGCCATCGAGCTTTCGCCTGATGAGGTCTTGGAGGTGCCCAAGCTGGATGGCGAACCAATGTGGGTATCCCGATAGCTGGATGGTTTATAATGGAAAATCCATCTATAAATGGATAATTTGGGGGTAGCCCCATTTTAGGAAACCTCCATATATACTACCCAATACTGTATCTCTGTATATGGTGCCATAAATGCCATAAAGCCTTTTTGCTTTATGGATGTTTATGGATATTATTGGTCTATAGATACATTTTACCACAAAGTAGTCCATAAAGTATAGGCTTTATGTATTGATATGCATTGATATGCCCCAGCTGCAGATTGGAACCGGTGGAACCCAATTTTTCGGCTGTTGATGGGCAGATTGCAGCGCGCTACAACATGCCCAAGCTCTATCGCAAAGCCGTAGAGATCACCGGACAAGGCATGCAGTACATCCAGGCTGGGGGATGGCGAGATCGACATCGTAGACCCGGATGATCAAACATAGATATTCTGAGACTGACAAAAATTGGTGGGTCAACTAGGGTAGTTTTTTTAAAACCAAAACTGTAGACTCCCAAGTCGCTGGGGTGTGGCCAGGTTCCAGCACAGGCGAGGAACACGCGATTTGAGGCGGAGGATGCGTCAAAGTGGTGTATCTTTGTACAACTGGCTGGTGGCCCCGACACTTCTGCGGTAACACTCAAGGGTTCCATTGAGCTAGCCTTCAAATCTTGCAGGTGAGAATTTGCAGGCCTACCAAAAGTGGCTGCAACATGTCTCATCAGTTTGAATGTTTGAACGTTCCATTCGTAGATCATTCACGGAGCATTTGTGAGGGGAAACCTGAGATGAGCGGCGAGGATCTGCGGGTGGATGTCTTGAAAGAGCACCTGGCCATGGGCATGATGTCTGCAGATGGGGAGACCTGCGAGTGCTGAGTGGGTCTGGTGGAAACCAACAAATCACAGATGGAGAGAGATCAGATTTGCCAAGAGTTAGCACGATTTATCAATATATATATATATGTTTATATGGGGATGGAGCAGATCAAAAACATCCCCATTTGGGGGGATGAATATCCATTTAGCAGCTATTTTGGTCTTCACCAGGGTTGCAGGATTTTGACCGATGACCCTATAGGCCCTATATCAATCTTTACTACCAACGTTTGCCAACACTGGCCAGCAGGTACCAGGAAGAAAGGCTGCAACCCAGCCACCTTACCAAGTAACCATTTTGCTGAGAACCTTACCAGCAAGGTGACATGCTGTTGTTCGGTGAGCCAATGCGGCATTTCAATCCCAGCTTACAATGTTTGCTTTACCTGGATGATACGGGAAATAAGCAAGTCGGTTTCCTGGAAAACAAACCATTTCAAACCCTGGAAGAAATAAGGCCGATTCGCACAGGAGATGCGATGCCGACATCGGGCTGCAGACCAGATGATGCTGGGCCCTTGGATAACTGCTCAAAGGCATGGACCCACCAAAGTTTGAAAAATATAGTTGTAACTGTTGTAACTTTTAAATTGCTGTTTTTTTCCCGAACCTCCTTTCGTTTTTTGGCGCTCCCTGGGATGTATGCTCAATCATTGCAGTTCGATTATCTGAGCTATATATATATATATATATGATCGAGAGACCTTTAGGTACCATTTTGTTCCGGTTAATTCTGATAAATTTTAAAGCCTTTTGGAAAATTGAGAGGATTTAAAGAATTAAATGATTTAATCCTCTTAATCCTTGTAATCCTCCAGAGCCTTTGGGGGATTAAATGGATTAAAAGGATTAAATCATTTAATCCTTTTAATCCTTTTAATCCTCCAAAGCCTCTGGAGGATTAAAAGGATTAAAAGGATTAAATGATTTAATCCTTTTAATCCTTTTAATCCTTTTAATCCTCCAGAGCCTTTGGGGGATTAAATGGATTAAAAGGATTAAATGATTTAATCCTTTTAATCCTTTTAATCCTCCAGAGCCTTTGGGGGATTAAAAGGATTAAATCATTTAAACCAATGCTTGGGCCTTAGATTCCAGATCTCTGGAGGATTAAAAGGATTAAAAGGATTAAAAGGATTAAAAGGATTAAAAGGATTAAAAGGATTAAATGGCCTTAAGACTGGCCCTCGTGCCTTAAGACTGGCCCTCGTGCCTTAAGATTGGCCCTCGCGCCTTAAGACTGGCCCTCGTGCCTTAAGACTGGCCCTCGTGCCTTAAGACTGGCCCTCATGCCTTAAGACTGGCCCTCGTGCCTTAAGACTGGCCCTTGTGCCTTAAGACTGGCCCTCGTGCCTTAAGACTGGCCCTCGTGCCTTAAGACTGGCCCTCGTGCCTTAAGACTGGCCCTCGTGCCTTAAGACTGGCCCTCGTGCCTTAAGACTGGCCCTCGTGCCTTAAGACTGGCCCTCGTGCCTTAAGACTGGCCCTCGTGCCTTAAGACTGGCCCTCGTGCCTTAAGACTGGCCCTCGTGCCTTAAGATTGGCCCTTGCGCCTTAAGACTGGCCCTCGCTTGGTGCGCATTGGCGCCGCTGCTCTTGCAGCATACCGCGCCAGATTGTCCGATCGTCTCTTCATGGGCGACAATGCCTTCTTCCTGTGGCTTGTGGAAGGTGACAGGTTCATTCGGATTCATGACGGCTTCTGCTATATCTACAATGACAATGGCGCCTTTATGCCTTACTCCGGGATCCCGCCTCAAGCCGTACTTGCGCGATTAGCGCTGTTCTTCTCCCAGCTGGAAGGTATTTTCAGGCGAATGGACCCTGCAACCCGGCGCAACGATGTGGACATTTTGGCTTCTATTGCAGCGGACCGTGCCCATTTCGCAGACGAAGAGAAATTCTTAGAGGCGTGCCAAGAGGCCGCGATATGGCAGCAAACCATGGCACCAGCCCGCTATGAGTTTGGCGAAGATGCTGATGAAATAGTAGAAGCGGATGTTCCACGAGGAAAAGCCTGCAGAAGATTGGCCGATCGCATTGGGCAAACGAATTTGGAAAATATGCCAATCCATCCGAAGTGAGCTCATGCATGAAAAGCTTATTTCCTTATTGGTCGAATGGTGCGAAACACCCCGGTCACAGAAGCCATGCGTGTCGTACCATGACACATGTGTGCAATATGATGTAAGCAGGGAAGTAATTTTGAGACACATCCCTAAAGCAGCAGGAAATGATTGCTACATTTTCATTCCGCACCCACTGCTTGATCCAGTGTTGCAACAGCACCAAAAGCGCCTCGAAAAGTTTTACCAGCAAACATTTTGGGCGAACAATGACGTGTTCCAATGCAATATGGCTGCCATGGCCTTAGCGAAGCGTGGCTTCAATGTGGACAGGTGCTTCATTGGTGAATCCCCTGGGGGGGTTGGGCAGTCCTTGCTCTCTTTGCATATTGATGCAATGCTCGGCTCCAATCATGGATACTTCGATCCAAACGTTTGGTACAACGAAGATGAGCTCCGAAAGCAGGTCGAATCCTTCGCTCGCTGCATCGTCGTCACTGGCCAAGAAGCGCCAGAATCACACAAGAGGTTGCATTAGGATTTGTTCAAGAAGACTATGTCAGGGGATGGGATAGCGGGGCGGAAGCCATACGGATACACAACGCGAATGTTCAGCGTTGTGGGTTGGAAACGCCTGGAAGTAAACCGTATGATGGTTTTTGCAGGAATCACCAAATCCAACTTCCAGTCAGTCATGCGCCGCGCTCTTGTGTGGAAACCAAAGGCTAGGTTCCACCCAGAGTCTGTGTTGAAACAAGCTCATGCAGATCATGAGGAAGACGGGCATTTCCTGGCCGATCCAACTTTGAAGCAGTTTTTGGTGAGTCCGGGCGCTTGTGCTGCTGGTTTGCGCACGCAGCACGCCTTCGAAATGCAGCACAGCCAGAATGAATGCATGCACCTGATTGATGATTATGCCACCGGCGGCGATGGATTTCTTACTGAAGACAAGATGCGGAAGGCTTGTGGGTTGGAGCTCCGAGTTCGCCACGAAGAAACTGCAATGGGAGGCGTGGGTCTCTTACATGTGTCAGATTCACAAGAGGAACGGGACCAGGAAGAATTGCAGTACACTGCGCTGCGTGATTTTGTTGTGACAAATTTGCTGGCTGAGTCCTGCAGTGACATCACACTGTGGGAGTTCAAAAAGGTTTACGCACAGTCGAGCAACAAGCCCAACGCATCGCACCAAACAGCTTTCAAAGAGTTGAAGACAAGGAAAATGATGCAGAAAGGATGCAGAAAAGGCAAAGCCAAGGACGTTCTCCAACCGGTCATCTCTTGCGAAGTAGGCTTCGAAGATGTAATATTCAGTCAGCGGGCAGATGAGGAGCGCGTGTTTCCAGAGTCTATGAACACGGGCCAGATCCGCAAGTATTTGGAGGAGAACCCTTGTCGAAACAACAACGTTTCGGAACCTTGTGGGCGCGCGCCGACATGTTTACTTTTTCATTCATATCTTCAGCCATGCGTTGTCATCTGACACTTTCCCAAATTTTTTGGGATCGCATCCAACCTGAGACATTCTGGCTTGCCGGTAGAAAGCCATGGCCTGCAACACTGTTTCTAATCCGGGAGAATCTAAATTTTTTTGCATCGCCAAAGGAGTTATGTGAGACTGGGATGGCTGCATTCGACCTATTTGGTTGACACGTCTCAGAGATCGCTTGACCCGCGAAAACTCTGCTTCGCTGCTATTATCTCCTCCCACGATTTTGGCAATTGTTTTCTTTGGGCTCATCACGCAAGCTGGCTTCTTCATGGATACACTCGGAGTTAGCATTTTTTGTTGTTTTTTTGGACAACTTGCTCATGCGAAAAGACATAGTCGGTGAGAGTTCGTCCTCAGTGAAGCTAACACATATCCGACATGTTCGAAGTGGTACATTTCAATCTTCTGGGTATAATTATTTTTATGTTGGAAAGCAACAAATCTTTGTCCCAATGTGAAGTCAAGCATCGATGCTGTGACGGGCAGTGGCTGCAGGCACGTGAATGTGTGCATGTGGAAGAGAAGATCTTACAACGTAACATCACGCCTGTGTGCAAGTGCAAGAGAAGATCTTACAACGTAACATCACGCCTGTGTGCAAGTGCAAGAGAAGATCTTACAACGTAACATCACGCGTGTGTGCAAGTGCAAGAGAAGATCTTACAACGTAACATCACGTGTGTGTGCAAGTGCAAGAGAAGATCTTACAAGGTAACATCACGTGTGTGTGCAAGTGCAAGAGAAGATCTTACAAGGTAACATCACGTGTGTGTGCAAGTGCAAGAGAAGATCTTACAACGTAACGTCACGTGTGTGTGCAAGTGCAAGAGAAGATCTTACAACGTAACATCACGTGTGTGTGCAAGTGCAAGAGAAGATCTTACAACGTAACATCACGCGTGTGTGCGTGTGCCCCCCCCCACCCCCCCCACCCCCCCCTGTTCCCCACCCCAAAAATAATAACATGTCATGCGGGCACAACTTCTAACTGACGGGCACAACTTCTAACTGACGGGCACAACTTCTAACTGACGGGCACAACTTCTAACTGCGGGCACAACGTCTAACTGACGGGCACAACTTCTAACTGACGGGCACAACTTCAACGTACCACCACGAAACACTGCCCACAGTGAGCGAAATGAAGATAAACGCGCCCTCACAGGCAGTTTTGCGCTCTCCCCCGTGCGCGCCGACAGGGTTCCGGAAGGAACAACAATGTCTATATTTTGAAGCAGTTTTTTACCGAATGCCTGACAGAAGAGAAGCGGAAAAAAGGCCGGCCAGCTGCCCACGACCATGCAAAAAAACAGACGTTACAAGACCAACTATGCAAGCTGGAAACCTATGAGAAAGTTTGCCAAAACCTTGTAGAGATCGCTTGCCCAGAAGCAGCATCGCAGCCAGCGCAAACCCCACTGCGCAGATCCAGGGCCAAGCAGCCCCCGGCGCAAGTGGCTCCTGCCACCGGCCTCGTAGAAACTTCTGTGCGCTACAAATACAGCGGTGATCGGAAACTTCGCGGACGGCGGTATGCAACCCAAACTTCTGCCCAGAAGTGCGCGAGGCGGATTCAAACCCAACTCTTTGATCATACAATTGATTTTGGACATTGAGAACTGTTGCGCTACGCTTGTCCTGCAATTGCTTGAAAAGTTGAAACCCAACCCACCTATGCCGGAAGAGGCATTGAAAGCTCTTCGTCGCTGGACGGACAATCGTCGGCTTGTATGCCGGGAGGAGCTACAGGTATCAGATAGCCACGGCAAGAAGTTGGTTACAGCTTGGCTTTCCGGAGGGACGCCGGACAAGTCATTCAAGGATATTCCGTTTGCGAGGAACATTCAGAGGGCGTCCATTTATCTTCGTTGGCTGGCATGCTCTGTTTTGGCCGAAGATTACGAAGAATTGGAGACAAGAAGCGACAAGCCGTATCCAGGAGCGACAGCATTCTTCTACATGTGGTCGGGCGTGGAAGATGCTGTGCTGGAAGCCTGGTCTGACTTCTTGCTTTTGAAGCGGCCAACGCACCTGTCGCTGCATTTCGACGGTGTGCGGGTCAACGCAGACGTCCTTGAAAACATTGATGCTTTGATTTCAGATAGTCAAGACAAGATCAAAGAAAGAACCGGATTCAGTGTCAGAATCCGGCAAAAAATCCACAAATATTTTATGGAAGCTATCGCCAGTCTAGATTCGACGGCTCTCGATGACGTTCCCCCTGAATTGCTGAAGGTTCCTAATTGCATCCCCTGTGCATTGTGGCATTTGGCAGCCAGCCAGGACAAGGAAAGCTACCTCCAAGCGTTCTTGCAACCTGACACCCAGCAAAATTTATATTCCATTGACAGAAAATGCCGCACATATAAGCAATGCGTGGAAGTATTGCAAACGCTTGATTTGAAACCAAGTTTGGGCATTGCCTGCAACTCGCCGGGCAAATATCTATTGCACAGTGAAAACAATGGTTCTCCCCATTGCGTTTCTCTAGAGGTCCAGGAGGCAGGAGATGCTATGATGTCGGTGATCAAGGATGGGTCCAAGGAGTACCGACTAGAAGCATCCAGCCTTTTAGAGCTTGCTGAGGGGTCGACAGACTTTTCCACCATCGTTTCCTTTGCAGTCTCCCCCAAAAATGGAGATGGTCCTACAGCGTTTTCTTGCCTGTTGGAGCTCCAGGCCGGCTCGTCGCCCACGGCATCCTTAAGCGACGACAGCATCTTGTTCCATCAGCCCCGTTTCATTGACAGCGAATTCTCCAGCCCAAGGTCGTCCGTGTCCTCGGCCATTCCTGCTTTCATGTTGTTCCCAGAGTTCGTAGAGAAGCGCATCTCATTGTTCGAAGGTTTGTGCTGTGATTATATTCAAATCCTGGCAAGTCAGCCGGGTCTATGGGCAGAGATCCCTTCAACTTTCTCCACCTTGTCGCAAGCCGAATGGATCACAGAATTGTCCAAAGCAAGAGATCTGCTGGTAAAGGTGTCCTGTGCTAGTGCCGCAGAACCTTTGAAAGACTCTGTGCTGGTCACCCGCGTAGAAAAAAGATTGAGGGTGTACATATCTATGCTCAGGAATCATTGTGATACATTGCATGCCTCAGACTTCTTGGGTGAGATTCCCAACCCATGCGATGGGGGGATAAGCAAGAGGACTTGGGAGTCGCAGGTGATGCTGTGCAGACAGAAGCTTCGGGAATTCAAACAGGGTCATGATGTTCAAGGCGGCAGCTCAGATGATAAGCAAGGCGGTGCAAGTTCTGACGACGATGACGAGGGCGGAGAGCCAGCAGAGCCCCGCTTCGTGATCGACGACGAGGGCCAAATCACTTTCCAAGACATCATCAAAGATTCCTTGGAGGAGGAAGTTCATGCTTTCATGGCAGAAATTGAGCACAACAACATTCGGAAGATGCACGGTGCATACTGCTGCCCTTTCTGCCCTTTCCGAGCTTTTGGTCGATTGTGCCAGCTCTCTGATCACCTGAGGCGCCATCATGTCGCCGCCAAGCAGTTTGTGTGCTCAGGAAAGAAGCAGGTAAAAGTGATTTTGGCCTTGCGCGATTCAGATTCTGTCCGCAAAGAGAACGGTGCAGACTACTTGTTTCGCAGTGCCATGCTCCTTAGAACTCAAGTGGTTCCTCCTCTCGACCGCAACAAGAATTTCATTGACAAGAACCTACGCCTGCTGCTAGAGAAAGACGGTCCAAGATATGTCAACCAAAAGGCCCTTGGAGAACAAATCGTTGCCCGCAGAGTGTTGAACATCTATTACGACAAATCCTTTGCCGAAATGGTCTACAGGGAAATTGTCTTGCACCATTCGAGTGTTCCTTGGCAGCAACAGAACATGCACGTGCAATGTAATCCTTTTAACTTGTGTCAGAGCAGGATCAGACTTTTTTACGGTGTCAACCATGCCTTGGAATGACGTTCATAGTTCTTTTCTGAGGTCAAGAGCATTTGGCCTCGTGTACATTTGCGGGCTTTGGAAGCCGGCAACATGCTTGGGAACTTGTACCCTTCCCATACACGTCATTGGTGGCCTCTTGTGGAGGACATCTACATGTCCTATCAAGTCCAAAGCTTGAAGAGCTCCATCTTCAAAACTTTGGAACACAGTCAGGAATTCTTGTGCTTGTCCATTGATGCTACACTCAAAGTCTGCATGACTGTGCAGGGACAAGCAAACTATAGAGCATCGGCCCAAACCCGAAATGCGGCTTGCTTTGATGATGAGCATTCTTTGAGAAGGGTGCTGACTATCAGGGGGCGTACCGGCGCCGTCTTAGGCATGGTTCCTGTTCCGAGTGAAGAGTCACCAAAGATCAAGGAATCTCTGCGCAATCTTTTCTCCAACCAGGCATTGTTCCAGGTTCGGTATTTAGCTACGGACAACCCCTCTCCTAAGCTCTTCCGCGAGTTGAAAGAGATCTGCCCAAACCTGAGCTGCCTCTCCTTGGATCCTGTTCACCTGGCCATTGTCTACGAATATGCCCAGTGGGGGAAGAAGACGGCTGGATCGAAAGTTCTACGGTGTTTGCTACATAAGATGAACCAGGTAGCCCCGAACATGCGTTCCAGCTCTTGGGGGCCCCTCTTCACTGGCACCGCCCCGCCAAGCCTGACTCGCGATGAAGAGCGGGCACGACATCTCATCACAGACGGCAGCATGGGCGCAACCAGGGCCAAACGCATCCTGGACAACCTTCATCCAGATTCGCCTTTGTTCTGCCGAATCACCTTCATTGAGGCATTAGCCGCCCTTTGTGCAACGTACCCACATGAGGTGAGCCGTAAAGTGACAGGCTCCAACAAAGAAATTAGGAAGGTTCTTTGGGCAGCCACAGCACCAGATAGATTGGAATGGCTGATGAACAACCTTCGTGTGCGCCACGGTCTAACCCCTCTAGAGCGGGGGTTGCTGCCAAGCGGCACGTCCTCTAATGAGTCCCTTCATGCCGAGATAAATTCGTGGACAAAGTCAATACGGTCCCTGCATCAAAGCACCTTGCGCATGAAGTTGGAAATTATGCAGTTCGGTAAGATGTTGACCCACCATGTGGCTTCATGTTTTCCAACAGTTCAACAAACTTCTGAATCGATATTGCTCGCGCGAGCAGTGGGCGAAGAAGTTTGGACAGAGGCCGATTGGAGGAAGTGCTGTTCGTCAGCTAAGGCAGTGCTACCACTACATAAGTCCAGGCAAGAAGAAGCCAAAAAGTCAAAGACTGGAAGAACGGCACGGCAACAAAAGTGCGGAAAAAGGCTTTGAAACCTGACGCGGTTGAGTAGTGAGCGCTCGTTGTTCTTGCATTGTGAGTGATAACTTCGTATGCTTGTTGATTTTGGGCGGATGTGGGAGATAGTTATGCAGCTTGCATGGATTGTGGTCAAAAATCCTAAACATTCACAAGTATACGCCACGCGTGCAGGTCAGAGCCTCTGAAATGGATTCGCCGATGGCAAGTTGGGCGTGGCTTGGCTTTTCTGGCAAAAAGAAATCCAGGCAGATGACGTTTAAATATATATAATATGGACATGTGATATAAGCTGGATGGATGAAGGGACGGATTCAAATTTCCGCGAAGAGTGACGTGTTGTGCGACAGTTTTTCAGCTCTTACCATTCGCAATGCAGCCAATGATGCCTCCATCTCCATCAAGGCAACTTGAAAAAGAGGAATCTCGAAAGAAATTCCGGCACACAAGCCAGCACGTCCGTTTTCCCACCCGACCTTCCCATCCATGATTGCTGCCACCATGGAGCGCTGCAGTAGGTTGTGGGTAAACATGTTCCGTTGAAAAAGTCGATATTTTGTCTGCCCAACCTTTGGCAGAGCTTTTTCAGCAAGCGTGCAGCAGTTTTCCCGCCCAGCCTTCCCTTCCATAGTCGCCACCATGGACATGGAGGCTGAAACACATCTATCCCATATCCACGGATGAAGAAACCAAAACGTCATGCTCACGCAGAGCGCTGCTGGAGGTTGTGTTTAAACATGGTCCGTCGAAAAAAGCTAGAAAGTGCCCAGCCTTTGGCGGAACTTTTTCAGCAAACTTGAAGCAGTTTTCCCGCCCAGCCTTCCCGCCCATTGAAGTCACCACCGTGGAAATGGAGGCTGCAACAGATCCATCCCATACCCATGGATGAAGAAACCAAAACGTTATATCCACGCAGAGCGCTGCAGGAGGTTGTGGATGAACATGTTCAGTTTCAAAAGATTCTGCGTGCCCAGCCCTTCATCTGAGCTTTGCAGCAAGGGCGCAGCAACGAGCAAGCCAGTACATGTGTTTAACAGTCCCACCCTCCCATCCCAGTTACTGTCTCCGATCAACGTCCAGCGCTTCGGAAAGTCTCGCGCGGTTATACAAATGTTTGCTGTAGCGCTCATTAGATTGAAGAAGATGCCTTTCTAGGCCAACGAACGAAATAGACCCCAAAGGTCCCTGCCACATATATATATATATATATGTACACATATAATCACACATATATACATATATATATATGTATTTATGATAATATAATCTAGATAAGATATGTTATAAAAAACATATTTAGATGCTTTGGCTTCGACACCCGTCACACATGTTTGAGCTTGACCAAGACTGCAACATAGGAAAGTGACTGGCGGCCCAGGCTGCCCGATGCCCACGAACGCGCAAGAATCATGTGGAAGCTCCTTGGGCCGCAAACAAAGCTTTCCCTCAACAACAGATGGTAACAGTGGGAAACACGGCAGAACGGAAGTTGCATGCATACAGAATTCCATGACAGACTCCAACTTGTGTTCTCCGTATACATACATGCGCACAGGGTCTAGAAAGCGGCGCGTCAGCAACTTGGTTCAACCGAGGAATTTCAATCTGAATCTAAGCTTCGTGTTGAAGCAAGGATATTTGAACTTGGCTGGCCAAATCTTAGTTCTTGGATGGGTAAACTTGACGCTCTGACCATATGTTGAGCCGCCACCATAGATTCCAATTCAATTAATGGGCAAACATTGCAGCAGACATATAATTATACATACATACACATTGTATGTGACCATAAATGTGCTTTGCATCGTTGCATGATGCATCGTTCTTTGGTGATATAATGTGATATAGACATTGACATTCACAAATATTCACAACATATAGCATACATTTACATATCTTGTATCAAATACAGAAACTATGACATACGCATGGTCCCAATGGTGCAATCTTCAGGACCTCGCTCCGAACTTTTGCTCAGGACCCGGCCGCGGTTTCAGAAACCCAAAGCTCCAGAGTCTGGAAACCAAGCTGTTGGAGGCAGATGGACCTTCTGAAATTGGTCAGAGCCTATAAAACCGAAAGAATCTGAGAGTATAAAATTACTTATGTACTTCGGACCCAAGATGTCTTCTTTCTAGCCGTTTCATCCAACTGTTTTATGTGGGTGTGACACTTGAACTAAATGATACTAAATGCCGAGGCCTGATCATGACTGGCGGTCGCTGCATCTTGCGTGGAATCCGAGAGGGTCAAGACACGGGGGTGTCTTCGAAACCATCTTGTCGGAAAATGGGTGCCCCCAAAATGGCAATTTCATGGAGAATATGATGATTGACCAGTGGATTATTGGAAAAACGCAAAAACAATGATGCATACTGCCAGGGGAAACAATGAAAAAACATCGAAACAAATAATAAGCATTGGTTTCTGCCGGATTGTTGGACAAGGCCACAAAATGAGGGTTGTAAGCCAGACAAATCTTGGATCTCTTGAGCACATCACCAGATCATCCATTGATGGGATCCTGTTCCAGGGCTACAGTTGGGACTTTGTTTCGAAGCGTGTCGCATCAAGGCATGTTGTACAGTAAAGTGTAGGCGTCTCAAGCCTATGTCTAGGTTTGGCCTCATCATTCCTTGCGGGGTGAGGCTGGGCAATGGGAATCCAAGTTGGACGTGTCGTGCTTTCTGTTTGGAATTCTTTGACCTGCTACAGCATGTCACCCGAAGATGAAGATGCGAACTGGCAACCAATTCCTCACAGATGCATCCACCACTGGTGTGCCGCAACTTGGGTCTGAAAAGTAGGATACCCGGATACCCCTAAATCCGTTGAATCATCACCCCTATTCAATGGCCATTTCATGGATATACCATGGTATACCACTGCAGCATCGTGGCAGGATTGGACAGCCGTGGCACATGAGTGACTCGGTGGCAGCTTGGGGTTTTTCCACAACGGACGACACAACGATTTCACAGCTGGAGCCGAGGATGCAGCCCACACCATACCGTCGAGCACGCCAAAGGAGTCTGGGCGACCGGCTAACCTGTTGATGGGGGGATTGTTTGAACAATGGACTGTAAAAATCAGCTATTTTGCTAAGAAGTTTTGCCCGCTTTGACCTGTGTCCATGTTGGATGTGATACATATATATATATATAACTTGTACTTGACTCTCCTACAGTTGTGATAGATAATGAGTCCAGCACCTGCAGCATGGGTCAAAAAGGGTTCGCCCCAAATGCCAAATCTGATGAACAACCTTGGCTCATGATGCTGGAGGTGCGATGCGCGGGGGGGTGGGATTTCATTCTTCATCTTTCAAAGGCTAAAAGGTGGAAGTGACTTCCCTGTATCACTGGTTTGATCTTCCATGTTAGGTGGGCGATGGCCATGGTGACATTTCATGATGAAACCTTGTATTTCAGGGATGGTTTCAATGTCGCCAGGTTTGGGTTTATTGAATTATTGAATTATTGGCTTTCCTGTTAAGCTTGTGCACCAGAAAGTGACTTGAGCTTTTGACGCCTTCCAGAATCTTCCAGAGGCAGGTCCATGGCAAGTCACAAACTGCGACGCGGGGCGACTTGGCAACGACCAGGAGACAGTCGAGCCGCGTAGAGAGTGAACTGAGTGAACTCGGATCTCTAGAGACACCGCTCAACAAAAGTTGATCTCTCTGAGAATCAGGGACTCAGGGACTGCAGGTTCAATATGTGTATATAAATATATATATATATTATTAGTTTAATTGGGTTTGCTGGTGTGTTTCTCCCATGACTTGTGGGCCATAATATAGATTGCTCATGTTTTTTGGTTAGTTCAAAACGCATCCCCTGATGAAAATTGTCAAGATGGTCCGAAGTAGGAGGCACATGTAGACAAAGAAACGAAGTCCCAGAGGGTCCAAGGGTGTTTTACCCTTCCAGGAGATCCATATTCGATCAAGATCATTGAGGTCTAAGGGAACATTTTTCAGGACCCCTCTGTAGTTGATGGGAACGACCATGGTTTCTTACAGATTTTCCCATCATCCCAATGACGCGACGGCGTCGTTCACGTCGTTCAGAGGTGCCACGCAGTGTGCGCGCCAAAGGCGTACACACCAAAGATACGCGTGGCGGCCGATCAGTACACCTGGACCACAGCGATGTGAAAGATTTTTTGCGGAAATCACCACTGATGGGTAATGATCGAAGGAAGTTTAGAAATCAAACTTCCGACAATATGGACAGATGAAAAGCAGAGCAGGGCAGAGGCAGAGAGAAGAGGAAGATTAGAAGAGAGAAGATCAGAAGAGAAAGAGGAAGACAGAAGATACAGATGCGCGAAAAGGTAGGAAAGTCGCGAAACACTGTGTTTTTCCAATGATTTGTGGCTCCGGAGGGTCGAAAAGTAGGCTCGCTAAAGCGGCGGGTGCGGACCCAGCTGGCCACAGGAGACGATGAAAAATTGCACGCCGTTGTGGCGCGAAGCACATTTCCAAGTCAAAATGTACAAAACACCCAGGTCGGACCACTTTTGGAAGTTATGATGTCGAAAAAGTGCACGCCGTTGTGGCGCGAAGCACATTTCCAAGTCAAAATGTACAAAACACCCAGCTCGGACCACTTTTGGAAGTTGTGATGTCGAAAAAGTGCACGCCGTTGTGGCGCGAAGCACATTTCCAAGTCAAAATGTACAAAACACCGCCGCTCCGGACCACTTTTGGAGGTTGCGATGTCGAAAAAGTGCACGCCGTTGTGGCGCGAAGCACATTTCCAAGTCAAAAGTGTTAAAAACTGACGGTCTCGGACCACTTTTGGAGGTTCAGATGTCGAAAAAGTGTCGAAAAAGTGCACGCCGTTGTGGCGCGAAGCACATTTGGAAGTCAAAAGTGTAAAAAACTGAGGGTTTTGCGCCTTTTTTGACGTGCTGATGTCGAAAAAGTAGACACTGATTAACTTAACTAACTTGACTAACTTAAGGAACTTCACTAGCTTAACTACCCTAACTTCGACGACAACAGCAACAACAACAACAACAACTACTACTACTACTACAACTACAACTACAACTACAACTACAACTACAACTACAACTACAACTACAACTACAACTACAACTACACAACAACTACAACTAGAACTAGAACTAGAACTACAACAACTACAGCTACAACAAACAACAACAACAACTACAACTGCAACTGCAACTGCAACTACAACTACAACTACAATAGATCGATAGATGGAGAGATAGATAGATAGATAGATACATAGATAGATAGACAGATAGACAGATAGACAGATAGACAGATAGACAGATAGATAGATAGATAGATAGATAGATAGATAGATACATCGATCGATGCAAAGATCGATACATGGAGAGCTAGATAGATACATAGAGAGATAGATAGATAGACGGAGAGATAGATAGAGAGAGAGAGATAGATAGACAGGTCGGTAGATAGATAGATAGATAGATCGATAGATAGATAGACAGATAGATAGATAGATCGACAGATAGATAGACAGATAGATAGACACATAGATAGGTCGATAGATAGATAGACACATAGATAGATACATAGGTAGACGGGCAGATAGACCGATAGATAAATAGATAAATCGATAGACGGACAGAGAGATAAATAGTTAGAGGGACAGCTAGAGACATAGAGGGCGAGACAGACAGATAGATACATGGACACATAGACAGATAGTTAGACACCAAGACAAATAGAGAAATAGATGGGTAGAGGCATAGACAGATAGATATACAAATAGACAGATAGACAGACTAGATACCCAACATATCCAAACCCAAAGTTTTTGTAGGGTTTGCTCAAATACCCAGGGTTTACACACAAACTCGGAGGCTTTCCAAAACTTGATAATGTATGAAGTCTGATTGTTGTTTCGAAGTCCATGCTGGAGCAAGTTCGCATGCAGATGCGTTTGTTATCTGGCAAAACTCACGGGTTGAGTACCGCATCCTGCATTCATTGCATGCCGAAGCATTCGTTGCAGGCCAGCGTGTGTGTTTTTTCTGACCGCACGATGGCGTATCAGCAGCCGTAATTCATTGCACGTGTTCGCGCTGCAGCGTCCGTAGCTCGCAGCATGCCTAAGAAGGCTTTACACCTAAATCATGTAACCTTCAGATCCCTTTAAGCCTAAAATGCTTTAATCCTAAGCTGTCCGTAACCCTAAAATCCTTTAACACTAAAATCCTTTATTCCTAAGCCCATTGAACCCTAAGACCTTTTAACCCCTAAGTCTTTTGACCCTAAGATACTCTTAATGCCGAAGCATTCGTTGCAGGCCAGCGTGTGTGTCTTTTCTGACCGCATGATGGCACATCAGCACCTGGAATTCGTTGCGGGCCAGTACCTCATTGCACGCCGAAGCATTCGTTGCGGGCCAGTAATTCATTGCGTGCCGAAGCATTTGTTGCAGGCCAGGCCAGCGTGTGTGTCTTTTCTGACCGCATGATGGCACATCAGCACTTGGAATTCGTTGCGGGCCAGCGTGTGTGTTTTTTCTGACCGCACGATGGCGTATCAGCAGCCGTAATTCATTGCACGTGTTCGCGCTGCAGCGTCCGTAGCTCGCAGCATGCCTAAGAAGGCTTTACACCTAAATCATGTAACCTTCAGATCCCTTTAAGCCTAAAATGCTTTAATCCTAAGCTGTCCGTAACCCTAAAATCCTTTAACACTAACATCCTTTATTCCTAAGCCCATTGAACCCTAAGACCTTTTAACCCCTAAGTCTTTTGACCCTAAGATACGTTTAATGCCGAAGCATTCGTTGCAGGCCAGCGTGTGTGTGTCTTTTCTGACCGCATGATGGCACATCAGCACCTGGAATTCGTTGCGGGCCAGTAATTCATTGCATGCCGAAGCATTCGTTGCAGGCCAGGCCAGCGTGTGTGTCTTTTCTGACCGCATGATGGCACATCAGCACTTGGAATTCGTTGCGGGCCAGCGTGTGTGTTTTTTCCGACCGCACGATGGCGTATCAGCAGCCGTACTTCATTGCACGTGATCGCGCTGCAGCGTCCGTAGTTCGCAGCATGCCGAAGAAGGCGTTACACCTAAATCATGTAACCTTCAGATTCCTTTAAGCCTAAAATGCTTTAATCCTAAGCTGTCCGTAACCCTAAAATCCTTTAACACTAACATCCTTTATTCCTAAGCCCATTGAACCCTAAGACCTTTTAACCCCTAAGTCTTTTGACCCTAAGATACGTTTAATGCCGAAGCATTCGTTGCAGGCCAGCGTGTGTGTGTCTTTTCTGACCGCATGATGGCACATCAGCACCTGGAATTCGTTGCGGGCCAGTAATTCATTGCATGCCGAAGCATTCGTTGCGGGCCAGTAATTCATTGCATGCCGAAACATTCGTTGCAGGCCAGGCCAGCGTGTGTGTCTTTTCTGACCGCATGATGGCGCATCAGCACTTGGAATTCGTTGCGGGCCAGCGTGTGTGTTTTTTCTGACCGCACGATGGCGCATCAGCAGCCGTAATTCATTGCACGTGATCGCGCTGCAGCGTCCGTAGTTTCGCATGGATAGATAGATAGACAGAAAGAGAGAGAGAGAGAGATAGATAGATAGATAGATAGGTAGGTAGGTAGATAGATAGATAGATAAATAGATAGAGAGAGATAGATAGAGAGATAGATAGATAGATAGATAGATAGGTAGGTAGGTAGGTAGGTAGATAGATAGATAGATAGATAGAGAGAGAGATAGAGAGATAGATAGATAGATAGATAGATAGATAGAGAGAGAGATAGATAGATAGATAGACAGACAGACAGACAGATAGATAGATAGATAGATAGACAGACAGACACAGAGAGAGAGAGATAGATAGATAGATAGATAGATAGATAGGTAGGTAGGTAGGTAGGTAGGTGGATAGTCAGAGAAAGAGAGAGAAATAGTGAGAGAGATCAATCACCTTTCGCTCCATCAGTGGCTTCGCTCTGCCATCCCTGATTCACAACAACCAACCTCTCCTATAGGTTTCCTATTTTTGAAACTTCCGCCACCGCCTTGTGCGGTACTACTGGTAGCTATGAAACCGCAGACATTTGGGGGATCTACAATACCTAAAGATTTGTACCTCACATGCAGTTTTTATATGTCTTAGCTACATCGTCTATATGTCATATCTATTTCTATATCTAAAGCTATGTCAGCCATGTCTTGCTCCGTCTCTTGCACGATGTTTCTTTCGGTTTGCTGGCCGCGCCACACATTTCTCAGGGCGGCGTCATAGCTCTCCACCAGCGCTAGGCCCAGCAGTACAATCGAGCCATTGTGGCCTCACCGATGAGGGTTGTGGAGGCTTCACCAGCGAGAAGCGACGCGGAGCGACGCGGAGTTGGGGACATTCTTTGTGGGAAAACAAAGGAGATGTATGGAGATGTTCAGTCTTAACGGATTATTAACGCCTAGTCACCTAGTCTTTCCCAAGCCATTTAGCCACTCAGACTACCTCAAACTAGTCTGTATTTTCCAGTGGTGGTCACGGACTTTTGGATCTTTTGGAACCTGTAATATTGGGTATTCCCACAATGATAACCAGAGGATTGCGGAACGAACACCAGCTGATCCCTCTGCTGGGATTCCTCTTTGAACATTTAGGCGGTGCCGCGGCAAGTCCCCATCGAGCAATTCCAAGCGCGCTTTCAGGAGGTGCCGGACATCTGGGGAGTG